AAAAAAAAACAAGTTGCAACTAATTTCTCCACGACACTCAAGCATATGCACTTAGAAATCAAAAAACCCAAGATTATGTTATCGTGAAAGAAAACCAAAGAAAAAACCGGTCAAAAAGTTAATCTCAAAATGCTTCACACTTACGTTTAGCTTATATCCAGCCAGAATGTTTGATTTTCGTAGAAGTGAGAAGATAAGACAAATAATAAATGGAAAAAAATGAAAAGAATAAGAAATAAACAGAAAAACCAAGGCAACTGAAAGACTAGACGTGAGAAAATATCATGTATGACAAAACGACAAATGAACATAATCTCCTCACTATTTTTTTACTCCAAAAATTTGGTCGTCACAGAAAACATCCTTCCGATAGAAAGTGTAATCGAGCCTTTGTTTGAACATAAGCGGAACCTGAATATCAAAAAATTAAACAATAGAAGATAATGATGGAAAGCACTCACAGTCTCAACCACCCGTGCTTGTACATGCTCTAACTGAAATGGTGCCGGCTTCTCATGAGAAAAGTCAATGTCGGTGGAGAGCACACGACAGGATTGTGAGCATCCTGCTGCGGCTCGCAGGGTAGATGCCGCGAAACGCCGCAGCATTCGACACTGCTGACGAGCTCAACTGTAACTCGTATATAGTCTACGCCAAAATGATAACGACATCCAAATGATAAACCGAAGATAAAGTGGTTCAGACCACCGGAATGTAACTTGAGCAACGTTTGAATTATATATTTATGCATACGCTTGAAGAAAAGCGCACAGCACATCTTGACATAATAAACTGACAAAGTAACAAATCTAATTTTTTCTAACAAATATACCCTAAAGAGACATCGAAACTTGGGAAAAATCGAGCAGCGGCTCATTGTTTCCCTTGTTCAACTAACTGCTCTGCCTCTCGACGTAAAGCCTTCTCTTCAGCCTTGATCCTGATTGCCTCTTGTTCGGCCTTTATCGCTTCCATGACTTTAGCACCTTCACGATCGGACGCGGTTATCTGAGAAATGAGAACTAATCAGAATATACCATTCCTATGACAGCTTGGTGCTAAGCTTACCTTCCTATTGACAATTTTGTAAATAAAACCATCACGATTCACATGTATATCTAACGCTCCCTCAGCCGTCACCAGCTTGGGCTGAAATGCATGCTCGCTAAGTGACACTAAATTAACGTATGCAACTCAATTTTCAAAATACCTCTTTTTTCGTCAAGAAAGAAGGGAAGTACGCCCAAAAACTGGACTCCAATGTACTCAACCGCCATAATAAAACGATGACGTCTTCGTTTTCATAGATACAAGAGCCAATTCTCTATAACAAAAAGCCACTGAACACAGATGAATCAAATAGGCGATGATACTTACTTCAACCTTATTAAATGGCGAGCGATACCGGTAGTAAAGTCGTATTTTGGCGATGTGCGTAAGGAGCTGTGATTTACGAGATAATTTATAATTGTAAAGCTTATCTTCAAACGATACGTCGTCGAGACAGATATCAAAAAATGGTTTCAGCCTCGTCTTCAGAATTCCTGGGGTCTGACGGAGGAGGTTTGAAAACGATGTTAAGTACGGGAATAGATAGCTTACCACATGTTCCAAAAGCCAATCTACTCTAAAAAGAGTTTCCTTCGAAGGAATATTTGAACTTGCATTCTGAGACGAGGAAAAATTCCTATGCGAAAGTGAGGGCCGACAAATAGATGATGAGGCTGGAAAAAAGAGAGAAAATCAATTTTCTTTACAAGAATAACTCTCAGATAACCTTGTAAAGGAGTTGAACAAGAAGCAACACTGCATAATTTGAAGATATGTCCGGATTCGAAAAGATGGGAAGCCTTTAGGCCGTTCAAAACGAAGCTCATGCTCCCCAATGCCTTAAAGCATACACAGGTTCGAAATTAGCCTGAAATATAGACAGCAGCTTATTTTGAAAACTGAGCTTATTCAAGAATAAATTGAACGACGCTTCAAACCACAAAGGCACGCCAGGCTTTAAGCACATCGGTTGTTTTGCGAATGATCGTCCGGCATTTGTTCTCCTCAACAAAGTCTACTGCACTTGTGTCCGAGCGCGATTAGTAGTGGGGTACATTTAATTGCTTAATTATTCATTGTGAAGCCATTTCAGAAAACGACATACAAGCAACGTAAGCATGGATGCGACATGTACGGCATTGCCTTGGTTCTCATCGTTGGAAGTGTAATCAAGACAGCACGTTTGTGTCACCTGAAATTGCACTGAATTTTCATCTATAGGTAGGCACTTTCCAATTGTGATCATAAAATACACTTAACGCAGTATCTGCAAATCCCAAGTTTGAATATTCACTTGACAAAGTTCAATAAAATGGTTAGATTCTATGCGCTGCGGAAGGTACAGTGTGGACATATTCAAGTACATTATATAATTTGCTTTGCTGTTTGCGGAAGGAACTTCGCACCTTTTCTGTGGGGTCGCAACAGATGTATAGGGCATTCGCGAAATCGTGACGATGGCGTGGCCGCACGCTACACGTACGCACTTCTGGCACCTTCTTGGTTTTCATCCTTACTTGAGTGGTTTTACTGGTTGAACATAATAGTATTCAGACACTGGTGATTAAACTGAGCGTTGAGGTGATATCTAGTGTTTGATGCTCCTGTGGACGCGAAGAGCTGTCAAATCCATCGTCACGATTTCAAAAATGGCGTTTACATTGAGGAGAGATCCCAAAACTCATAGTAGTATATCTTTCTTATGGATTTGTTTTATTGCTTGTGCAGCGGTCTATTTCCTACCCCACGCGGGGGGGGGATTAGAATTTTTTCTGAAGAAGGTGCGTTAGCCCACGCACTCCGGA